TACACTTCTATTTTTTGAAGACATAATTATTTGTGTTTACCTTGTATTACTATTACAGCACAATCTAATCTCAACTGATACACAATAATCAAAGAATTTCTGGGCAGAAAACACCTAGACTTGTCTTCCCAGCAGTCTGCCAATAAAACTGATGGCCACTATCGAAAAACTTCTTTAGTCTACTCCAATAAGTGATAAATTGTGAAGAGACATCGTCGTTTGCAGACATGTGATTTGAGTCTTACTCATTACACAGGTTGCACTTTTAATGGCTGCATAACTGCATTAGGTACTGATGTGAAAAAGAACACTAGAATTTCACTAGATGAGAAGCAAGCAAAATATAAATATGTATTTTTAAGAAGTAGAGAGTAATTTTTCTATTTTCACATTAGACCCAACACTCCCTCTATAAAAATGTGTACATTAATAAATTAAGAGTTCTACAAATATTGACAGTAAAGATACCCTCTTTTCTCTTCTCAACATACTCACTTTTCTCTGGAAACTGTCCTCCAAGGTGAGGGCAAGCACCCAGTGCCCAGGCCAGGGCCGCACTGTGTATGGCCTTGCCGTCCTGGACAAAGTTCAATTCTCTCTCTCACACAGATCTCGAACTCTGAGCTTAAAGTGACTGGAAACCTTACTAATTGAAAAGTTCAGAAGCAGCTGAACTCTTGCTATTAAAATCCTTTCCGAAGCCTGAATGTTCAACTTCTGCTACGATTCTATGAGATACATTACTCTTTCAAATACACTTCCTTTTACGCTTAAATAAGGCAAAGTAGGTTTCTATTACTCGCAACCAAAAAACAATATAACGAACACAATGTTAAACAAAGCTAACTGATCTATTAATGTGAGCTGGCTGGAGCCCAGTCATCTGAATCTCCCTAGGGCTGTTCCAAGGTCTTGAAAGTCTTGTTACAACACAACTCTAAGGATTTCAAAAGGTCATGACTCAGAGTTACACAATGTTATATGATCCCACTAGCACCAGATTCTTTTTTTCAATTAAGTACTTAAAACTTTTTTACTATAGCATTTAGACATAGACTCGACCTTAGGAGATACAATCAGTTCAAGCCACTAATCAGCTCTCATTCCTCCTCCTTGCGGATTAAAGAGCTGCTCAGTACTCAACAACCTTCTTCACACCTTTCCTTACTATGAGCTCCTCTGCCTGTATACATACATTTTCACCGTGTTCTTTGTGAACTGCCAGATTTAGCAAATAAAAATATAGGACACACACCCCCACCAAAATACATATTTAGGACATCCAGTTACATGTGAATTTGATAAAGAACTTTTTTAGTCTAAGTGTGTCTCGAATACTACATGATGACTGAAACTATTTGCTGTTTATATGAAATTCACATTTAACTAGGCATACTGTATTTTATCTGACAACTCGAGTTCTGTGGAGCTGAAAGAGTTGCCCAACAAGACCTACAGACTACTTATTCCCTTTACAACAGGAAGTGGCGAATTAGGAGCAAATGTTTAACTCAGCTACACAATGATGACACAGACTGTTAGGGGTGCAGGAGACCTTGGAGACAATAGTCCAGTGTTCTCACTTTCAACATTAGGGGAACAGAATCCAACTGGGTTGGAACATAACACCAAATTACAAGTGACTAGAAATATTTCTGATGTTCATTTGTTTTTAAAATTATTTCTAAAAACCCACAAGAGAAGAGAACAAGTAAATTTCATGACCCTTAACGATATTCACAGAACTGTTGCCTCAATGGTCATTTCATAATAGTAAATGTAGCCAATAAAACAAAACAACAAAATGTAACCAATTAGATATCACTGTTGTAAATGGGATAATTTAGGTAAGTAAGAGTATGTATATAAAGCACCTTGTATAAGGCCTGGCTCATAACAGGACTTTTAAATGTAATTCCCTTTTCACCAGTGACTCTGCTTCCTCAGTCTAGAATATTAAAATATTACAATAGCTTCCCATCTGGCCTCACTGTCTTCAAACTCAACTTTAATATCAGAATAGCATTCCTAATCTCTCTCTCTCATAAACATTCCAATTAATTAATGTTAGCAAGATGTTCAATTTCATTAGATATCAACTTGCCAATTAAAACACTCCTAAGTCAAATCACCTGTAAGTTCACCAAAAGAATTTTGATTATTCATTCATAACACAGCAACGTATAGCAAACACAGAGTACATGCTAAGGGTATAAAATAAGAATTTAGAAGCATAAAGTAGAGAGGACATCATTTCAAGCAGGGGTATTCAGAAACTTCAGAAGCAGCGACATTTGACCAAGAATTTGAAAGACAGACAGCATTGCGACTGGCAAAGGTAGGAAGTTAGAGGAAACTTCAAGTAGAAAAAGCATCATGAACAAAGGCACGAAGGCAGAGAAAAAGTGCTTCACAATCTAGCCCCAATTTTCCAACTGTATTCTTCTTTCTGTCATGCCCCGTCGAGGCACAGATGCCAGTCAAGGGTCATTTCCAAGATACAGTTTAAGTTTCCTACCTCCATACCTCTGTTTAAGCTATGCCTTCCCTCAGTAATGGGTAACAAGTCCTACACAACACAGAGTGATAGATGATACTAGCTACCAATACCAGATAATAATAATACCACATTTCCCTCAGCTTCTGTTCCCTTACTTCATTTCTTTCTCTCTCCTTCAAATCCTCCTGCCTGACCCAAGAATGTAATCATTTTATTCACTGATTAATATACAAAGCAGAGTAGAATGTTCCCTTTAAAAACAAAGTTTCCACTTAAATCCTTGAAACCTTCCCTCCACTCCCCCTCTCCCACTCCCTATCTTTACTTCTCACTCCACATTCTCTTTGGGTTTGTGATGCTGTATTTGAAAAAAACAAATCGCCTCCC